TGACTCTTTCGAATAAACGTGACTATTGACTCTTTTTATTGTCATTATTCTTCATACTTGATACCAATGAGAATAAACCATCAAAATATGAATTAGACACGAATAAAATGATGTTTTCTACTGTAGATCATAGATCAAAAGTGTGTGACGAAGAGTATTAATTGAAATTAGCAATAAGGGCAAGGGAGAGACGATATCTATCTAGTACAGAATCACGGTCTTATGTACATGTTGTGTTTAAAATGACAATCTTGTCTAAGTTTGATTTGATGATTTCGATTCGTTTCGCACGATGTCAAAATATTGTCAATTAATCTAGAAATAATTTTAAATGCATGCAAAAACAGATGAAGTTCACAAGAACATCGTTTCAATACTACCAGAATTCACATCGAAATAAATGTACGCTGTTGTATAAAGTGAAATCGGAAGGCACCTGCAAATGAATCTATACGTAGAAAAAAAGAAATTCTTTTATGGGAATAGATCTGAGTGACAATAATTCATTATAACATATTTAAACAAAAAGAAGTACCAAGTTTTTATACAGTTTTGTTTGATTATTATTTTATAAGGCATTTGTTCATTCGCATGCAGTATCCGGAAGCCATAAATTTTTCTTCATGACACAGCATTTTGAACTAATACAATGTCCTTATTTTGGGTGCAATTCGGACAATTTATATTAATAAAGGCAACATTATATTTTTATTTTAGTTTTTCGGCACCACTGATAAATTGATTTCTGAATTTGCATTGACTTCAGCAAAAGGAAGTATTCATTTCTCAAACGGTGCTCTGAGGTATCAAAGAATCTTCATGTGTTTTGCATTTCTGTATAAAATCTTGGACAGGAATATTGGATTTTTTCATTTATTTTCGACAAAAATTAGTGATTTTTATTTTATTGCTTAATCGACATTTCTGGTACAAAATTTGAATGCATCTTGATTAAATATAAACTAGCTTACATCATTTAAAAATCAACTCAGTCAAATTTTGTTACAAGTGATTCTCCGAGTATTTCATGTTTTATTACGATATTTATTCACCTAATTTTACACCCTAGACTGTTCAAAACATTTAAATAGTCTATTTGAGATGTTCTTTTATCAGCATAAATTATGGTACAACCGCTAAAATAGTCATTATATAAAAATTGGCAACGAAAAAAAAACATAACTATCAAAAAACGACGTGACGAGTGTCAATTTAATCGGAGATCGTGGCCTCTCTGAATCATATTGCTATGACACAAAGAGACCGAGTTGTGTTGCTTCAGGCTCAAGACAAGAGTTGATCTCCGACCGCGGCTCGTCGAAGTATTTCTTTTCGTTCTTTCTCTTATATTGTTGAATGATTGAAGTTGTGCAAGAACATTCTTGCACAAGTCTAACTACGAAGAAAAGCACAAATGAAAGAACATCAAATAACTAAACAGCGTCATTAGTCGACATCCCGACTCTCATAAAATGTGTTAACATTGTAGTCGCTCTTAGAAAAGTGTTTTAAAGATTTTTCTCATCTATGGCAAATCATAACTAAAACTCCGAAACATTAAATATTTATTGCATTCACTTCTCAATTTAACACACCGTTGACAATGATTCATCATCGAAGAAAATTGCACAAGTTTCAAACTTTATATGAATAAAAAGAAATACGATTCTGATAAGTTGCATAGCATTGCAATAAGCCTTGTTTTTTAGCAAATCGGTATTTCATATTCGAGAATACAATTGCCTGTTCCCTAAAGATGTAATAACCCAAATTATTAGTTTTTCAGGCGACTTCGAAATACTTATTAGTAAACTATTAAAAATTGGATATAGTCAAAGTTATAATAGCAAACTCAATCGATTTTTGTTGAAGTAAGACTTTTCAGAGTCATGGTATTTACACAAAAGGAAGAAGTGAAAGTAAAAGATATTACTATTCATAATCAATATAGGATATAAAAGAAATGACTCAAATAGAAATTAGTTCAAAACTTTCTTGTCTTAATACAATCAATTTTTATAGCAAGTTCTGAAGAATTATGTTCAAATAAGACCTTAGACTTGCCTAATCATGTTTAAAAAATAGTCAATATCTGAGAACAAAGTTCTGACAGTGATATCCATATTGTCTTTTTCTTAATGCATCGGTATATAAATGGAAAAAAAATTCTTGTGAGTTTTTCATTAACACGTTCGATAACTCAGTGTGTACAATTATGATGTTCATTTTAGGAAGAATGGTCGCATTATTTTTATCTTATTCAACTTAAGCGCAATATTAAAGACCTTCAGTTTCATGGTGATGTTATGTCAGAGTGATTGCTCATTTCATCCAGAATCACACCCAACTCTAATTGTTCAAGAATTTCGGCATTGTTATTAAGCAAATTTGATGCAGTAGATTGACTACAAGTTTGAGCGAGTTCTTTTTTTTTTCTTTCGATTTCAGCTTTTGTGTCAATATAGGTCACTTGATAACCCTAAACATCACAAGACAACGCTTGATCAGCATGGAAAACATTGTAACTATTGTTATACGTTACGGCTTCAGTCAATCGCTTTTTCTGCAGTCTAGTTTTCGATTCTTTTTTATTATCTTATCTACGTGTACTCAAACTGATTGGTGCATTCAGAACTTTTCTCGTAGTTATGTTAGGCAGAAATTAGAGCTCTTTGGTTCCAAAAAATACCCGAAACCGGAACCGTTTATCTTATTTTGAACACCAAGCAACTAGTATTAGGTTTTTCAAAAAAATTCTCTATTTCTTTTATCGAAATCATTCATTCATATATATTTTAAAGGCAATGTCTTCAAAATCTGCATGCAAAAGCAATTACAGGAATCGTTTCAATATGAAATATTTACATGCAACTGCTTATTCTATAAAAAGGGTTCTAAAACAAATTGATATCATCATTTTGTGTCTTTTTTATGATTATTATCACACGAAAGATTATTGTCTTCAACTTCTTTTGCAGTCATTGATTACACTGCGAAATTGAGCACGATGTGTTTTCCCATATTCCTGATCTTAATACACGAAATCTCAAACAAAAAGTACTAAAATAATAAGTGAATAAGTTATTTATTCAGTATTTTGCTTTAGAAGCAGGATTCGATGTATTGAATGGAGAAAAAGTTGGTTTCTTCAGAAATCATAGAAGAATGAAGAAACATATATGAAACAAACAATGTTTAAAAATGTTCGATTCTAACGGGTCCGATTCCACTTTTTTTTGGAACCACAAAGCTCTAGCAGAAAGTAGACACCGATTTTTACATACATCATAATTCTCATGAGCTACTATGGATGTACCGTAGCTCGGTCACGATTTTCTTTTCGTGCAACGTCTATCTTTCTAGTAGGATGTGGTTGTTTATGCAAAGTGCAGAACCTCACACTCACGCATATCCGCAAAACAACTAAAATATGGTATAGTTTTATTCACTTTACATATTTTACATCAATATAATGAAGTTAAAGAAGCTATGTGAGTTCCATATTTTAGGGTGTGGGGTGTGGGTACACTCTTTCTCGACACCGACGCCCACACCCACACACCATTTTTCATTTTTACTTATTGATTTTTTCATTTAGAGCTTATTAACATTATCATTAAAGCAACAATTCTCTCGTGATCGACAAGTATTTGGTTTTTCATCTGAAGTAGTAGCGAAAAAAAGGCAATCATATGGTCATCTAATGTCAGGACGAAAATTGAAGTTTATGAAGGTTAATTATGTATCTCATCGAGTAAGGATCTAATTTTTATAATTTATGAATTTATTTTTTTGTATTTTTAGGATTACTTAGCTGAAGAAAAAGAACAATCTGAAGAATCATTGATGAAATTGATTCAACAAGCAGAGTCTATGCGTGTCTTAATTAATACAACAAATTATGATTATGGTCAAGTTAAAGCTAAAATGGATGTTAAATATGTACATCGTCAACGTCTTGTTCAAGAGATGAAATCAGTCAAAGAAATTGTTGAATTATATCCAGCTTTGTCAGTGACTAATTTGGTAAGTTTTATAATGTATATTACTTTGAGTTAATTTATAACTTATTGAAATATTGCTCAGTTTGAATAATTCGTTCAAACAAGTTAGCTTGTTTTCAATATCACATATACATGTTTCTCTTTTATTTTTTTTTATGAACAGCTGATTCGTGAAATAAATCTTCGTTCTGATCCATTTGCTGGAGATATTATTGAAGCATTAAAATGTAGTTGTACAAAATTAATGAAACATTTGGAACATCAGCAAAGAGAAAAAATTAATGAAGGTAATATATTTTATTGATCTTTGTATTGTATTTTCTTTGTTTTAGAAGAACAACCATTTTTCATATTGGAGTATTTGATTATGAAACGTTACAAACATTCAAAAAAGCTGTTATTAAATTATGTAAGTAAATAATTTATTGTCATTTAAATTATGGTATAATTCTCATCGCTTAATTTTATCGTTGTTTATTTCAGGAAACAATCGATGCTTATCCAATGATACAAATACAAACAATTAACAATATTAAAAATTATTCTATTGTTATAGAATATAATATACTTATTACAACAAGTTCACACATTGAAGCTATGGCTATTTTAATTGGATCATATGAAATATTTAATATTGAATATCCAGCAAAGATTCGAGCAATATTGGAAGTCATGAATGGTTTTTTTATTTAAAAAACGATCATTTTCTTTATCATTAGCTGCTAAAAGATTTATAAGTGAATATAAATTAAATAATCACATATTGTAAAGATGAATTCTTCTATGCACAATAGTATATAATCTAGATTTTCTTAAATTATGTTAGTCATTATAAAATACTATATTTTTATGTAAAGTTTTTTTATATCTTGTAATATTGACTTATTTGTTTTTTCTGTTGTTGATAGTGTTTGAACTGTTTGTTTTCTTTCTCAGGTTGTAACTTTTTGAAAATATTTTTGTGCATTATATATTTACAGATAAAATAAAAGAAATGAAAGAAATATTAATTATAAAATGAAACTGAAAAATGCTCTAATCACTATATGCTCTGCGAATTTCTAAAAATGCCCATATAAATTCACTTTTGATTTTCTACTTTACAGTGTAGTTTTCAAACATTCCACACTTTCGTCTTGAATCCGATCAACATCCGGATTTCCTTCACGAAAATTGCTCACCATAACGAGACACGTACCGTGCAATGCTTTGCCATCCGGATGGGCAGCATACGACACAGTGTGGTCTGGCTGATCTTTCGTTGCCGCATCGCATGTATCCTTGCCGACCAATGCATCAAGAACGAGCGCCGCATCCCTCACATCAAACGCCAACGGACCAGTTGTATCAAAGCTCAAGGACAATGGAATCACCCCGGTGCGACTGGTGAGTCCCAGAGTAGGGCGTATGCCGACCAAGCTAGTCACATTCGCTGGTGAGAGGATCGAGTCACAGGTGTCCGTTCTCAATGCAAATGGAGCGAAACGTGCAGCCACAGCAGCAGCAGAACCACCACTAGAGCCTGACACATTGCACTTGAGGTTATAAGGGTTCAACGTCACACCACCTGCTGAGCTATATCCAGAACGTCCATAGGGCAAAGAGAGCTCGCACATATTTGGCTTTTCCGAGCAGAATTGCACCTCTATCTAACAGTTTCTGTACGACAAAAACGTTCACCTGCCGAGCTGAATCGTTTAGAATGACCGAATCACCGGTGGTGACAAGTCCAGCTGTATCATAGTTATCTTTAACGACGAAAGGAATTCCATATAACGGGTTATCTTGAAAAGGAGTCGTGTGCCGCTGTGCATCACGTTTCCGTGCCTGTGCTAAACAATTGGGATTGACAGTGATGAGCGCATTAATGCATGGACCCACTTTATCATAGAGTTCGATGCGTGCCAGACAGGCTTCGACCAAGATCTCGGAGGTCAAGCTACCATTATTCAGGGTTTCATTAAGCGATTGGATAGTGGCATTCAAGAGATCAAACGCGGTCGATGTTGTTGTCCACATTGGTGAAGCAGGATTTATTTCTGAGAGTCGAACGTTGATGATTCTATTGCTTTCTTTGCAGGCTCTCGTGCTCGACGTGTCACAGATAATGCGTTGTATTACAATTAAGCAAAAGATACGTCAACTGCTTATCATTTGTAAATATTGCGTCTTGTCTTCTTTTGTACGCAACCAAACATGAATAGGACGACAAGATGTCGTTGCATGTTCAGTGAATTTTGAACCATAAACTTTTCAGAATCAAGTTCAAATATAAGGTTTTTCGAAATAGGAATCAGAGAGTACATCTTCGTTTATTTAGGGAGAATGACTGTAATTGAATGTGCAAGCGATATTCCTCCCTGTATCAACTCTGACAATTTAACACTGTGTCCACCAGCAAACAACAAATGTGTTAAAAATCGTGGCTCTAAAGTCTATAAAGACGATCTAAGTAAGATGCGATGTACATTATTTTTCACAGGACTTTGATCTTTTATTGTCGTCTTTAACATTCGCTTATTAGTCTTTTACTGGTAACCAATAGAGTTGGGATACTAAATTGTTATCTTGTTGAGAAATAATATTGTACACGGACAATAGCATCACTAACAAAATTTGTTACAGAATGAAAAATCCTTTCAAAATCCTTGAAAAATCCATAGTCGTCAACAGACACATTCATTGGGGTATGAGAAATCCGTACTTGTGAAGGGCCAAGCGGAGTGAGTGAGTTAAGTCGATGTATATTCTAGAAAAACCCTGGAGAAAATTGGATTAAAAATCCAGAAAAAATGTTGTGTGAAAATCATATACTTATTTGAGTATGAGATAAGTTGGTTAAAAATTCAATAGAAATCGTGCAAATTATATGGTTATGTGTGAGTCAGATAAGTCGATGCAAAAATCCAAAAGAGATTCTTCAGAAAAGTCGTAGACATTACTGTATACTGTGGTGCGCGCAGCAATACAGTCGCTATCAAAAGGGTGATTTACGGCCCGTTTGTGGTCGTCAATGTAATAATAATACAACTTTTAGACATAATATCTGTGATCTTATTATTGAAGAACACAGGTTACTGTTAAATATAGATGCATGCTGATAAGACTTGTGCTGTTGTTGTTATTACTGATAGTAGAAGATGAATACAAAGAAAGACGAACACCAGTTACATTTTATATTATCATAAAGCAAGGTATGTGTCAGCTCGAGCATTATATCAAGAATAAATGTTTTTTTAAGTAATTATTATGTTGGGCAGAGATTGACGTGACAGTTAAAAAGTCATTCCATGATCACCTCGCCCCAAGGGGTTTCTTAAAGAGTCCCCTCGTCACTACTCCATCCCATCAAAACGTAGTTCAATATGAAATCCCATCGGCAGAATACGACACACCCCAGTTTCAATTGACTTTGATTTATTACAAGGATGTTCCTACTGAATAGATTCTTTTAGCATAGAGATATGTGAAAATGTTGACGCTTTCAACTACTACTTAATTAAAGTTAATTAATTAAGAAGTAATTAGTGAATATCTCTCTAACCATATGAGGAAAAAATCTAAAAATTTCAGGATAGACTCGAGAGATCGGACTCTAAAAATTTTCCTCATAAACACAGGTTCCCCAGAAACTGCATCAAGCTCCATGACAAAAATATTTGTCTTATCATCATCTCAAAGTTAGCCCTTTGAATTGTCTACAGAATGTACTATGTAGTTTACAAAAATACTGTCTTAATTCGGAGCTTTTAAAATTAAGCTGCATACTCTCTTAAAAAAATAGGTACTTTAGGAAACTCAATAAGAGTTTCCGAGTTTGTTACTATCTGAAACCCTCTAAGAGTTTCCGATCAGTGGTTTCCGAATGCTCGGAAATTCAAAATAGCAAGTAATCATGTATTATTCAAAGCTGATTCCGGAAACCCATATAAGGTTTCCGAGCTCATGGAAAACCCAGCATATGATACGGGCATTACAAAATTAGAAACCCATTAGAAAATACTCCCGAATCTTGAATGAGATTCTATAGAACCTATCGAAGGTTCTATTCAACAACCCCATTAGAAATCCAGGTCGAACGATACGGTCCGTATATCGGACGCAGAATTACGAACCGTACCATCATCAATATACAGTCGTATACGACCCTATTCTAATGATGATACAATCCGTATTTCTGCGTCCAATATACGGACCGTATTGTTCGACGTGAGAAGAGACCAAGAGATAAACTAAAATAAAGGAAAATAAAATGTTTATTTTGTTTATAATAAATTACTTATCATCATTCTTATTCACATGAGTTGAACCTAAATAAAATAAATAAAGTATTGATTTTATTTATAGTACATTGCTTACCGTTATTACTTGCATGAGGTAGATCTAAATAAATTAACTAAAGTGTTTATTTAGTCTTTGTATTGTACAACTAATCATTAATATCTTATCGATATGAGGCCTAACTCTAGTGTAGCATCGAGTTGTCAGTATAATTTTTCATGTGTTTGTTATTTGAGAAGACTGGCTTTTTATTAGAAGAAATGATCAATATAAGAGGAAAAAGCCATTTAAGAATAAAAAATGTTTATCAATAAAAAACGGTTATAATTTTATGCGCGATTATTTCCAAAACACTAGTATGAATAAACTCCCTCGATCAATCGAAAACGAAAAAGGACGAGGAAGAGAAAGAAGTTCGTAGGTTTTTTAGTGAAAAAATACTGTAGAAAGACATCTTTTAACTGGAACAATAGATAGATCGAGAGAGAGAGATTGAAAAAGTTGTGTTTGTTTTGCTTGTTGTTTTTTTAATATTCATCATGGTTTACGAAAGGACGACCGGGTGGTTTATCAGGTGGTGGAGTATTTTCGTCATATCCTTGTTCAAGATCACATAGTTGATCTGATTTTCTTTTACGATTGACTTGTTTAGTAAGATGCGGTACAAGTGACAAGAATCTGTTTACTCCCTCTTTGCTTAAGTCGAATTTTTTCACGGAATTTGAAAACCTACAATTCTTCGGATTTTGACAATTAATCATTTTGGATAACTCTCAATAAGAGAAACTATTGCCATTCTCATACGATCCGACTCTTCAAAATCATATTGACTATTAAATCTGATTGTCCTTTTACTGCAACTTCATAAAAAAACAAGGCATAACGAAAAGAAAATACATAGACTATAATTTTTATTCGTTTTTATGAAAGTTGACAGGAGCATATTTCCAGCTGTCTATTTATAATTTCCGCAAATTTGGCAATGTGAAAATGATGTTAAATTATTTCGAGGGTATCAAACAGTTTTAAATTTCAAGATATATTTATATGAACAATGAATTATTGATAATTGAATACTTTATATAAAATGTATCAATGTTTTTCATTCTCTGGAAACCTCCGAAAATTCAGAAAAAATAAAGGTCAAAAAAGTATATTCTAGTGTCGAATATGCTTTTACGAAGAGTTTTTGAATACTCAGATCTTTTTGTGAAAGCCGTTTCGAAGGTTTTCATAACATCGCAAATCAATTTAGGTTACCTACAATACTTTTTTGAGATTCAGCAAGTTCGATAACCTAAAGAGTTTCCGATGAAGCACCTTGAAAACCAAACAGGTATTTTTGGATACGATTTCGGATTTCAAATCAACTTTCTCGACTGTGTGGGTTTTCTGAGCTACCTTTACGGTTT